ATTGTTCTAGTTACTCAATACTTGCTTTTACACCGTGCCTGGGTTTTTCAAAGGACAGTATCAGCTCATACCTCAGCTTAGAGGCTCAGAAGCTAAAGTACATGATGGAGCACAGCCAAAAGCGTGTACCATTCAATAAAGTTAGGTCAAGGTCAAGGAAAAAATTTAACCCTAAATCTTTATGCCACTTCAAGCTGACCAGTCTGCTGCTCTTTCAAGGAGATATCCACAGGACTCCATCAGTGCTACGGCCCGTGGCTCCCCTAGGATTGCTGCCCACTGTCACATCTGTAACAGACCCCAAACGGGTAAATGGATAGCACAGAGCCAAGTGCAGGCACAGGGCAGTCACTATGGATCATTTTAGCTGGCATTCATTCCGCTGGCCAAAACCTCAGTGCCATGTGCAAACGGGTCTGTATCTTCTAGTAATCCCCACCACTATTCCAAGGCTTAGTACTACCCCCCGTCAACCTCCACATCATTCCTCCCTCACTGAAGCCTCTTGGATCTGGCCCGCAGTGTTCATGCCAGCCGAGCTTTTACCGTAGCCCTGGGTCACGTACATATCCATATAAACGACCAGCTGACATCCAAGCTGCTTCACAGCTAACGTGAGCACGCCAGTTTTGAAGTCTTTACATTCCAAAATCCACTCTGTGATTCCAGGTCCTGTCATTCCAGTTTTCCAACTAGTCAGCAACCATCTTGATCACAGTAAGGCCCCTCTTTGTTCACAGACTTTGAGCTCACTTCTGATCTAACGTCCTTCCATGTAGTCTGGGTTCTCAAATCCTTTTCTGGGTAAGTCCTCTTGCTAGCTGTCTACTCTTCAATCAGTCAAGGTCAGGCCCAGACAACCAAACATTGCCTGTGACCATGGCCCAAGAACACTTGATATTTTCCTGTGTTTCTAAGCAAGTTTGAAACTGGTTTCTCACTTTGATATAACAGCAGCTCTGCTGTTGGCCTCACTCCAGCCTTTGGGCTGGACATTTTGGATATTTCTTGGAAACTCTGGCTCACCTTGCTCTTCAGCATTTACTTATACAATTATTAGGTGTCCTTGCTATCCCTGACTCTGTCTGCTCCAGTGAACAGGTACCTCCTTTCACCTCGGGCTAATCCTCCAGCCACGTTCTAGAGACATAGGTCTTTCCCCCTCCCACCCCTGCCCTCATCATCTTTCAGGATCTTATTCCTTCTGTTATCACCTCTCTGTCTCACATCTACAATGACTCCCTTCTAAGTTCTTCCTGCCCCTGTCTGCTAGCACGTTCCATTTTCTCCCTATTCACACAGAGCTTAGATGACTCACTGTAGGGCTCTGGCAGAATGGTTTAACTTATATTCTAATGGTCATATCTTCTAACACAAAGAAAGCTTTCCATGGACCAATAATCACTGATCACACTAAGGAAGACAACGGGAATATGAGCCTGTTGAGTGCTGAACAGAAAGTGGAGGCCTACCTGTCAGTGTAGGGAAGGGGATGGCTGCGGTAAAGCTGCAAGGGGGAAATTGTGAGTACCAGCCACAGGAACAAATTCCAGGCCGAGGAGGATGTTGCCGATCAGCAGTCAGTCTGGTCCTACGCAAGGAACACCTGGCAGCGATCGCTAGCAGCAGCAGCAGCCATGCTACATCTGCAAGTAGCCATGACGAAAACGCAGGCATAGAAACAAGAGTGTTTTATGGAAAACACAACATTAAATGACATGTGTGTGGCATTTGTATCATTGCTCCCCTTTTCCCCACCCTCAGCAAACATCACTAATGAATTATAAGCCCGCTCACACTGAGCTGAAACCTGGCTTCAGAACCCTTTTTAGAAAACACTATCAATCAATTGGAGATGGTCCTTGAGATGAAGTATATTTGCTATGTTTGCACTACACAGAAAAATCCTCCGCAAAAGAATTAGAAGACAGGAGTAAGCTTCGGGAGAAAGCATATTGAAGGCAGCTTGGAACGTTGTAGGCAACTGGCGGGGAGAAGTTCAGCCCATGGAGATCACAGAGCAGGCGCCCAATTAATGTCTGTTGATGATTCATTTTTTCATTCAACAAACATTTAATGAGACCTACAATGTGCACTGGATTAGGCACTGCGAATACAAAGATGAATAAGGCACTGTCCTTGCCCATAAGGAATTTGGAGTCTGGTAGACGAGAGCCATAGACACGGACAATGATAATACAACCTGCTAAGTGCTAGGACACTTAGCAGGTTGTATTATATCCATCCGAGTACGATTTCTTCAGAGCACAACTCCAGGCTGCTGTTGGATCCATGAAGTCCTCCCAGCCACCAGGGCCTGCTGTTTTTTTTCTGTCACGTGGTGAGTGTCCAAGAACTAACAATAATAGCTGTAATTTATAGAGTGCTTATGGCATACACTTTACAAATATCCTCATGGAAACCCTGCGGATTAGGTATTGTATTAGATGCAGAAACTGAAGTTCAACGAAGTTAAGTAACGCCTTAGATCACACGGCTAGTAAGCAGTTGAGTCACGTTTCAAATCCAGTTTTGACCAATTCCAAAGCATTTGTCTATGTTTTTAAGACAACCCCTATTGAGGTGTTACACAACTTTTCGACAGCTTTCTATTTGGAAATAAGAACAAAGGCAACACGTTAGCAAGCAGGGCATGGACGAAATTCATCTGCTTTCACAACCTATTTGACAATGTCAAGTACAAGCACCCTCTAGTTACGTCTGCTTTTATCCTTGTCATGGTTAACATCATTATCAGCATCATATTCTAGACCTGTTCTAAGCAATTCACATAAATAGTCTCATTAAATCCTTACAGTCCCTCCCACCCCCATTCACTAAAATCACTACAAAAAGATTAACCCTATTTTGCATTCAAGGTGAAAACGTGTCAGAGCAGATTAGAGCCCAGTCTATCTAGTCCCCCCAAGGCCCAAATTCTCTCTGTCCCAACCCTTCTTCCTCCTAGTCCCCTTCACGGTGGTTAGTCACATAAGGTCCACTAAAAATGCAGAAGGCCTGCTTAAATATAATCTCCCATTAATCATTCTAGTCACAGAAAGACATTCTCTGAATCCCCAGGGTCACTGCTCTGAGCCTTAAGTGGAGACTTTCCCAAAGAACACTGTTTATATGGCTTTGAGAAAAGAGATAAACACTGGATATGTTTAGGTTTTCGATTATTGAATGTATTTTTCACTCGGTGTTGTGACCATAAACATTTTTAAATCCCTAAGCAAAATAAAGTTATTGACACAGTAATAACTAAGGCCATTTCTTCCCTGAGTGGGTTTTATATAGAAAAGCCCCCACTTTTGTTAAAAAGTGCTTTGGTTGACATGTGCAGTGAGAGTAATCCTGCTATTGATGAGAAGGACCAGGAACTTAGTAATACGATAAGAAGCCTGCAGCTGTTCAGGTGTTTTCCTGAGAATGAACATTTCCTATATGGCTGCCCCCACCCCCCAAAGAAACTTACAAAATCTATACAGCCAAGCCCTAGTCTAGAAGGAGCCAATAACAGCAACACTCATCTAAAGATCATCAGAGGATCTCCCATCAAGACCAGGGCTGGTGGTAGGAGGGGGCACATTTGCAAAAGTCTGAAAGCCTTGAGTTTTCCCTCTTTACCACCTTAATTTTCCCATGTTCTATTATACCTGTGTTTTTATGATCTCTTATTTAAGAGCTTATCCCTTCTCCACTCCCATTTCTTGTGGCCTTAGATCATGTATCATCTTAACTACTGTAATTTCCTCGAACTGATCTCCCTGTCCAGATTTGAAAATCTTCCAGAACATACTCCATACTACTGCCAGAGTGACTATCAAAAGCTTCCCCTTCTTAAAACACTCAAAATGAAATCTAAATTTTATGGCGTGCTATATAAGAATCTATTATCAGCCTACATTTCCAACCTAATTTCATGAACCACTTGTAGTTCCCCTAATTCATTATTCTATTTCCAATGTCTATCCCTCTGCTTAGAATGTCCTTCCCTCTGTTTTCTGCTCGGTCAACCTTTACTTCTTTTAAGAATGAACGTAAGCACTAGTTCCTGCAACCTCTAGCATCTCCAGACTCAGTCAAATGACTAGTCTTCTGAGCCCCATTAATACGTTGTACATACCTGCATTGTAGAGCATAACATTCTGTTGTGATGATCTGTGTACATGTCGAACTCTCACTAAACTGAGAAGTCCTTGAGGGCAGGGACTGTCTAGTTCGTCTCCATATCCCCATCACCCAGCACAGTGCCTGGCAGCTCAAAAGGCAGCAGAGAGAAGAAGCTGAAGAGGCAGGAGAGAGAACAATCAAGCAATAGTTGGGGCACAATACAAACAATGCTGAATGACCTGAAGCTGAAGAAAAATATATTTCAGCTCAATATTATAAAGAGGTCTTGAAAGAAGACACAAGTTGACCCATGAAAGAGTTCCCCCATCATAAGTGCAGTTACTCAGAGGCTAAAAGACCATCTGTTGGTTATATTATAAAAGGAATTAGAGTCAAATTAAATAAGCTGTTTGAATATGAGACTTTTTAAGGTCCCTCTATCCTTGAGGTTCTACACCTACAACCTATACTATAACTAAGAAAGCCGTCACTCTGAGCCTATGTCACAGACCCATGAGTGAATGGTAGCTTCCAGAGTTGTGGGCAAGGGTGGAGACCTCGTCCTTTCCACACTAGACTGATTGCAAGCTTACAATATAACCCATGTCCCGGTGGCCTGCTTCCCAGATAACCCTTGAACCTGCAGCAGAAAATAAATGCTTTCAAGGCAACCCAGAAGGACCTCATGACCCAAACTATCTTCTATAACCTGCTACCTAAAGCTTTAAATTTCCTCTTTAAACCTTTGGTGCTTTTCTTTTTTTTTTTTAAGATTTTATTGGGGAATTGGGGGAGGGGAACAGACAAGTTGTTGTCTTTTTGTTCTTCAGTCTAGTTGTGGAGGACGTTGCTTCACTGGCCCATGTTGGTATTATCATTGCACTCTTCCCAGGTGAGGCAGTCGCTCGCCGGCCAGCCCAGCTCCAGGTTGAGCTGTTGTTCACCATCTTAGCTGTAAAGGGCGCAGCATCACTGGCCCTCATGTGGGATCCAAATCGGGGCCCTGCTGCTCAGAGCTGGCGTCCCAAGCCAACTCCTAACCAACGCGCCACTCGGCCAGCCCAAACCTTTGGTGTTTTTGATCAATGTTTGTTAAAATGTCACTTAATCTAATGTGGTGAGCTGGCATCAATCGAGAGTATACTAAAGGA